ATTACAGAGTGTAATTATAGCATTCAGCCTGCCCACACTTGATATCGATATTCGAGAACCTAGGTGGGTGTGTTATCGGATCTCAGGCTTTGCCTGGCTAAAAATACTCTCACCCTATATAAGCACCGACCAACTAATTCGGAGGTATATACGAAAACGCGCATTCTCGCTTTCGCGCGTCAAATCTCTAGTCATTTAAGTAGCGCTAATATCACTTGCACACCACACACACACACACACACACCACACACACACACACGCACACACACACGGCAACCGCACACACACAGACACGAGCACACTACACACCACACACTCACACTCACACACACACACACACACCACAACACACTCACACACACACACAGCACAACAACACACACACACACACACACACACACACACACACACACACACACACACACACACACACACCACACAGCACCAACACACATATATACATATATATTATATATAATACTATATATATATGTTATATATATGGTATAATAATCTATTTGCTATATTTATTTGTTATATGTATATAATATATATATATATCTATATATATATAATATATATATGATAATATTATATATATAAGTATAGATGGCGCTGTCTCTCGGCCATTTCCCAGCGCCGGTGTTCGTTTAAGCTACACACTGTGTGCGCCTGACTGTGCCGCTTAATTCATAGAGCAGCAGGGAGAGCGTTGTAATCGCGGAGCAATCTTCAGTAATGGAGAGCAAGAGGTAACGTCTCGCATGTAACAGCGAGAGCTGTTTTCGTTCGGCCATTTGACCTTGCACGGTTTTGTTTTGTGGGTTTTTATATTAATTTCCTCTGTCGGTAAACGCCAACTAGAACCCGACAATTCTAGTCCATCCATCAATCTATCTATAGATCTATCCATCTATTTATTTATTTATCGATCTATCTATCTATCTAGTCTATCTATCTATTTATCCTATCTATCTATCTATCTATCTATCTAATCTATCTATTTATTTTATCTATCTATCATATCTGTCTATCTATCTATCTATCTATTTAATCTGATTATCTATATATATATATATCTAATATATATATATACATATATAGGATATATTATATTATATATTTCTTTGCATCTATTCATCTTTCGATCTATTCTATCTATCCTATCTTGTTATCTATTCTAGGCTATCTATCCTATCTTATCTATCTATCTGATCTATCTATCTATCTATCTATCTATTTAGCTATAGATATAGATAGATAGCATAGATTAGATTTAATGATAGATAGATAGATAGATCAAGAAAGATTAGATAGATAGATAGTAGATAGATTAATAGATAGATAGATGAAATAACATAGATAGACTAGGATAGATAGATAGATTAGTAAAATAGATAGTAGATAGATAGATAGATTAGTTAGATAGATGATAAGATTAGATAGTAGATAGATAGATAGATTAGCATAGATAGATAGATAGATAGATTAGATTATAGATAGGATAAGATAGGATAGATAAGATAGATAGATAGATAGATAGAAGCATAGTGATAGATAGATAGATAGATATGATAGATAGAATAGATAAATAATAGATACGTAGCATAGATAGATAGATAGATAAATAGATAGATAGATAGACTTAGATAGATAGATAGATAGATAGATAGTAAGATTAGATAATAGATAGATAGATAGATGATAGATAGTAGATAAGATAGTAGATAGATAGATAGATAGATAGATAGATAGATGGAGAGAGAAGAAGAAAGACCTACTAAACATATCTCTTCTCATACTTTTACATCAGATGAAATGAATGAAATAGGTTTGCTCGATGAAATTAAACTGAACAATATCACTGTAGTATAATATGAACATATTTATAAATAAAAGCGTATCGTTTCTCACTGGCAACGCATAACAAAACCTGCTAATTTTAAATACCGATGGGAAAGCAATATGCAATGTTTATCGTGAGTTAGTGTATATAGTTCAGCATCTCGAATGGAATTTTTATGACGTAGTCGTGCGCATGTGACATCTGTTACTACATCAGCAAGGTTAAGGTGAATATAATATATATAATATATATAATATATAATATAATATATATGTCTCGATCAAACTTGCTTATATAAAATTTGCTGTTTTACCGCAAATAACGGAAAATATTGAAATTGAGAATCTCTAACGAATTTAATAAAATTACAACCATTAAACAACAAAATATATCAAGCAATTAAACTAATTACAAAAATATCTATACTGTAATAATTCATTATTATGTCTTGACCTTTTATTTTTCTGCTCATGATAGCTTATTATAATTATTATATAGTGATACTGAATGAAATGCAAGGGATCAGGCGTGTTTTTATCAATTAATTTCGTTGAACTTTGATCAATTCTCCAAAGTAGAAAACATTCATAAATGCGTCAATTCATATGATAACAAAGGCTTGAGTTTTATTTCTTAGTTCATATCTTACAAGGTTAAATATGACATTCGTTTACATGTTGAATTCATCAGCATAGCCGTCAGTCGTTATATACAATAGTTGCGAACGGGAGAATAGTGGAGAGTCCACTATATACGTCATTTGCTTGTCGTGTTATCATATAGAACATCACACACCACCGAGGACGCCTACGGGGTCAGTTCTATATAACACCTAGTGCTAATAATACATGCATTATTAGCTCTTGATACAACTGATAACAAGAATAATAAGTCAAATGTCATGTATCAATATAATCGACCAGTCTCCCCTATTGATCCCATGCGTAGCCTTACCGTATACAGCGATATAGATGCATGTGCTACGTGTATCACATACATTAATATGGGCAGGCGTTCATATGCAACCCGTTATAAACGATTTGATAGAATATAATTGTAGACATCGCCAACACGCTATACGCGTTGGTTCGGCGAATTAGTGCTCAGTATTTGCATACAAAAGTATGCGCGTAATTAATTGAATTATTTGAAGGTAAAGCATAATCGCAATCAATGTCGCAGAACTGTCTGAATAGTACGGATCAATCGGATGCATGAAATATTATTAGTCTAGTCTCAGCTTAGCTTCTCAGTAATTAAGCAACCCTCATTAATTTTTGAAGAGCATTAGCGCATCGATTCATCAGCTGCATGCATGCGCCAAAATCTAAATATGCTCCGATATTCGCCGAACGAAATTTCACATCCGTACACACATATGAAACTCGAACGAATGAATAGTCAACACCGCTCTGTACTGTTATATATATATATATATACTATATTATATATATATATATATATATATGTATTATATATATATATATATATTGCTTTGTCAACACACGTATCGACATGAATGTTCCGCCTCTTCTCTGCTTTGTAATCGGAAACCATACATAGTATCAAGAGAAGACCGAACTGCGATGTATATATTAATTATGTGATTCTGATATTATATATATGAAGCCATGTAAGCATGTTGTCATGTAAGCCCGTTGCAGGTTCATATCGCGTATCAAGAAATTTCCGGTTCAAAAATCGCCAGAAAAGTTTAAAAATCACGGCATATTTTAAAAGCTTATCTCCAAAAACCTCTATTCGTTCTCGCTCGCTCTCTCCCTCTCCCCCTCTCTACGCACTCTCTATCTCTCT